AGTTCCTTTGCCCGTTTCCTTCTGTCTATTTAATTCTTCGACGTGTGATTGTTTCCTTTAGGAATCTATCTTATGGAAGTATTTTGCTAAATTTGTTCATCAAGTATATCCTCAGAGACATGTAAATTGTTGCCTGACGATGTAAGTCAGTGTAGCGTCGACTTATTCACATACTAACATCAGTGAAGTCATAGTTAGTGGAAATACCTTTACTTACATGACCTAACCTAAAATGTAAAAAATTGTGGCTTGTATTTGATGAAGTTCTCTTAGGGAGAAACTTCTCCGCGCCTTAGCAATATTTCAATCTAAATCTATATACTATCTACTTTATCAATATCCTTATATCTAGATTTGATAATCTACAGCTTTATTTTGGTTTCAAACCATCGGGTAAGAAATTATCACATACACAAGCCATTAACGATGGATGGGATTTGAACCCGGAAACCCATGGCAGAAGTCTAACAGCAGTGCTTCTACCTAGTCTGGCCAAAAGCGGCAAAAATACCTTATTTACATATTTTACAACGTCCAGTTTTCCGTTTTCGCCAACATTTAGTACTGTATGCTCGTTTCCAAACTCGAGCTTGAAATTGGACAACTCTGATTCCAACTTTCGAAGTGTCCTCACCTCGATCACATTTATTGAGTTGCGATTTGTGCTATGAATAACCTAATTATATCGGTATGTGGGAAATAGCTGTGTATCTAATCGAATATAATGCCGCGGGCAATAACGGTCTATTGAAACTGATTTGGAAAAACTTGTGCTTGTCTACTACATCTAGTAGCAAATAAACACTTATGGTTTGAATTATTTGATCGGTACTCGTAGTTTTGTACCAAAACATATTATTTGGTTGAGGAATTATTGTGCTAGCTTCAAGATTGGGCTAGTAGTAGATTCAGACATTGCTACGAAAGTCATAACTCCGAATGGCATAACTTCGAAGAGCATAACTCCGAATGTGACTAATTAAATAAACATTCCCTTTGAATCGGAGTCTCTCGGAGCAATACAGCGCTGTTCGGATCTTAATGTAGTTTACAGTTTTCATCGTTAAGAGATCATCCTGACTAAATAAAAGAACAGTTCCGCCTTAGTCACTGACAACCTATAGTACACAACAAAACACCATCTACCTAAACTGATCGGAAATAATCTCAAAAATCTCCATAATGTCCATGAAATTGAAACATTTAGGATATACAATTGTACTGTGTTTGAAGTTAGGGATCAAACTGAATTGCAAATTGACTTTAACAAACCTACAAAAGTGAAAGGGTTATTTTCAACTTGCGATTAGATCAGTTTTACTATGTCAGGCCAGTGAAAGTGATAACTTTGTGGTATAATGGTATATCTACGCTAGAGAACACTATTGACGCGATCATTGGTTCATTGAGACATTCGAATATTACATTGTAACAAGGACGGCGTTTAAATTCGACATCTGTTAACGTTGTTGTCAATCATCATCTGTTTTGTTGTTGTAGTCGGTATTAGGATGAGAGATACTAGATTACATGACTATCATCCCTAAGATCGTCTGAAGACTCTTGAGGTTCCGTTCGGTATTTGTAAAGCGTATTGTGATTTTTCCGTACACTTATTGTTGAAATTTTAGTGTAATATGAAATTTATATAAAAATCAACTTCTTACTCAGCATAGTGTAAGAGTCATTAGTTTGATGGAAAGGCGGTTAATGTATACAAATATTTTAAGAAGTTTCATCATGTGTATACTGTCTCGTTAAAAACAGTTGAAATATGTTTAATACGTGTAAATGTGTGTTTTAGTTTTGTTAAACGTGTTTTTGTTTTCTTCCCGGAAACTTACAAATATTATTATCAGATATGATTTCCATCATTCCATTTCATTCACTAACGTTATCTAGTTAAGTATTAAAGAGGTCTGCTTATTTCACTGTAATGATTCATTGTAAATATTCACCTCTTTGTGTGTTATTTTCATTAAAAATTAACAAATTAAAATCTGACAAAACACCCAGTTTATAAATATTGTATCAATTTATCTGTCAAAGATTTGTTTTAAAATCGAACAAATATATCAGCCACATTCAACCCCTTACGTATACAAAGTTCAACACAAAACACGACAAAGATTATCATCATTGTTTACAAATCATTAAAGGCGGCGCCGCGTGTCAAATCAATTGTAAAGAGTTGATAGTCTATTTGGTTTGACTCATTTAGATTTACGGAATAACTTAAAATGTTATTTGAGGCTATCATTGTTTGTCGGTACGATCCAAGGGTTAAGGTCTAGTCAATAAATTGCTCTGCAAACAATTGTAATCATTATGTAATTGATTCGTGGATCTCTGCAAGATTATATTATGGTCCATCAGGTTCGGTATCATGGGGTGTCCATTCTGCTTGTTGTTGTTGTTTGGTTCAGTCGTTTTTTTGTGGAAACAGTTTTTTTACTCCGCCTACATAAAGGCTTTAACTAGGGTTGTACATAAAGTACAGGAGTACTTAGGGGTAAGTAAGTTGGTACATAAAGTCCTGGCAGTCAGATACTGAGATAAGTCAGTGCTTTGTAACTGTTCAAAACTGGGACCAAATTCCCTTGATTGGTCATCGGATAATGAATTGCCCAGGTTAAAATAACATATATGGTCTTTATCAGTGTCAATATCAAATTTTCAGAAGGATTCGTACTCCAATAAACTTACGTACTTTATTTGGGTCAGAATATCACAGTTGCATCCGCTTCTTGATTGGTGAAAGTGATAATAAGAAGTTGTGTGAATTTTCTTACTCGGCAACATCGTGTCTCTGCTAAAAACTTGGGTCTTTGGCGATAATTAACAAGGAATATTATGGTGACTCATCAAATTATACAGGTAAATTTAGGGTTAATCTTAAATCAACGTCTTGCTCTACTCGAAATAAAATACGCTATCCCGGCAGAAAATTCCAGGTATAAACATAGATTTCCATCTGAAATTTCGTCCATGTTAACAGCCTTTAAAATCCTAAAACTGTAATAAGTATGTATTTTAAAAACTCATTTAGAACTTGAGCCAAGATACACCCGCAAACTTGGTAAACCTTTGTTATAAGAGAAAACATCAGGTAAAAATTCGATACTCCTAAAGGCCTACAAATGTATTCTGTCTGAAATCTGAATGGCGTTATAAATAAACATTGAGTTAACATCAAACATCGCGTTTTCCAGGAATCAATCGTTTTGGCAGGATCCACTAATTGGACGGAAAGTATTTTAATGATGAATGGAATAATGATGTCTCCTGTCAAAGTGTAGGCATTAAGATAACATTTTAGCTAATGAGACTAATGCTGTTATTTTCATAATAAACAAATATTAACACCGCAGATTTGATATTAAAAATATTCTTGATTGTTTAAAATTTCTGCCATGGATTGAAACATAAAACATAAAAAAAGTTCATCTTCTTGTCATTTTAAATAACTTTGACAAGTCAGACTATTTTATGAACTACAATTTCTTTGTAAATGTTAAGAATTGAGAAAAGGTGGCAGCATTTTTTACATTCCTTTTCTAATAAACCCTGTAAAATGAAATGCTTATCAAATATCTATAACCATGGTTCTATTGTTATAATATTTGTTAATTCCATTCCTTGTGTGTTTTTTAGGAATGGAGCAAAAGTATAGGATATCCCAATGTCATTTTTTTAAATTTGCCATTAAACACACAACTGTTGTAACTGCCTAATAAATCCTAGAAATAATTGCGCCCAATAGATCATTAATTTATCCACATATTGCCAATAGAGAGTAATTTAGTTGAAATTAGTCTTATAGAGTAAAACATTATGTGGAATATAAGTCATACATGTTTTAGTTTAGGCCTGAGGCTATCTGTATTAGTTTATATTATTTATGTAATTGCTTATTATATATTTTATTAGCAATATGTGACGTGGGCCATGCATGTAAATATGTTTAAGGCAATGAGGAATATTTTATTTTGTATATCTGAGTCGCCTCCCATGATTGAAATATACCTATACTGTATGTTCAAGCAAATATCATCCCTTCCAAATCAATTATACCAAAGCCCTCACACCGCGGATTCCAAACACAATTAAACACCGATTAGTACCAATCACCCGATTATTAATTGGTTTTTGGTCCTTCGAGCCGGATTCGATATTTTCATAATTGCCTCTCCAATCGTCCAGTTGCACGCACTCCTAATTGTTTCCATTCCTGGTAAATTGGCCTGGCCGCTGTTCGGAGTCGCTTTTTCCGATAAATTTAATCTCTTTTTATATTCGGGTTAATATAAATATTAGTGTGGCGCGCCTGGGGGCTGCGTGCTTGTGTCTGGTAGACGGTCACGCCATGCAGCGCTACTGGAATTATCTGAGAACTGGCTCCTGTGATACGCATGATTACGAGCTATTATCTGCGGCCGTACAAATTATCCGATGTGATGTCCAGGGTTTCAATAGCTTGAACAACGCTAAAGGTATTTATAAGTGTCTTATCGAGCTGAAGATATACATATCTTCATAGGTTTGATAGATCCTAACCACTTAAGATATTTGCTGTTGTACTATGATTCAACAGCATCTCTGAGGTTTACCAGCTAGCTAACTTGAAAAGAGCTTCGTAGTCACTATCCTCCCGACTAAATTACTAAATAAATAAATTTGTAATACCAAAGCTTACAGAAAAGGGGGAGAGAGGTAAAGATTACAGAGGAATCAAGTATGGCAAAGATAAAGTACTCCTTTCCACGTACTAGCTCTATTTAGTGGTGTATTCTGAAGCAGAATAGTATATAGAATATTTAAGAAATACAGTAGAATACATACAGTATGAAAGATGTGTAACAAACAAAAGCAATCGTCTCTGTTTAGCTCTAGCTGACACAGACTTCGACCAGTGTTTTTCTTCCGTTAAAAATAACCATCCATCCAAAGGCTTGCGGATTGTAATATAACCTTTGTAACAGCTGATTGTTGTGTTGCAGACGACAGAGCTGAGCGAGCTGGACGGAGGAGACGATGACAGCGATGAAGCTTCGTCCAGGAGAACTCATGACACCACCCCAGAACAGGAGGTGCTGACTAAGATGAAACACGAGGTTAGTTTAGACCTGTGGCAAGCTTGTAATAGGTTACCGAAATGGGTTTTGACAATTGAAATTTATCCTTTATAATAGGAGTGCATCCAGTCTATTTCACAGAAGTGTTTTCCATTGATCGTGGGATTTTTTAAGAAAGCCTTTTTTGATTCTAAATCCATACATTCAGGTCACAAATAATATCCATATTTACCTGTGGTAACGCTGTTATTATACTCTGATATCGGTGAAGATTTTCATTAAAAGTCTACATACTATATCCTTCCACTAGTGAAAGATGGCGTCGACATTGATGTTTTCGTTGAGAAACCTAGTGAAGATAGAAGATAAGCTGCATTGTGATTTTTTCAGTAGCATGAATGACCACTATATCAAATTAGGTATTACTGTACACTGCTGTTAAGTTGTGAGTTGTGGTTCCAGAGGTGCTAACACCCTTCGCATTTCCAAACCCTAAGTTGAAGATAATTGTTAAATCCCATAACCATACAAAGATTTTATTTAATAACTAATTTTTAAAATACGTATTGAATAGGGAAAAAGACTGAGACTAGAATTGCTTTGTAATGCCTAATGCCTAATCCTCTTGAGAATCTGTAGAGCTACTCCTGGTACGGATTGTGTTTGTAGTTGTTTTAATTGAATAGGTGGTTTTAAGATGAGGGCTGTTACCTTAAGATTTGCCCTTTATCATGTCAGGATGGGTTAGGTTACACACTTTGGTTTGTATAAAGCACATTTCATCAGTAGTTACTTATTCTTGATAACACCCCATGAATCAATGAACCTGGCGTAGCACTAATTGTGATTGCTGATTGATTGTATGTTTGCAGAGAGAAGCTCAAGAGGAGCAGCGGGACATCAAGCCGCCCCTCGCCCCCATCTCTGCGGCGTCACTGGTGCCGCCCCCGCACTTCTCACTACCCCTGCCGTTCCCGTTCCCGCCCCCGGGCGCCGCCTTCCTGCCCCCGACCAACTACCCGCCTCCGGGCACTCACACGCCGCACACGCCCCACTCCACCTCGTCCCTCAGTTCCGACTCCTCCAACGCCGCTCAACAGACGTGGTCGTTCGAGGAACAGTTCAAACAGGTGAATATTCCGCCATGAAATTGTTTGCAGAAAATTATGCAACCAACACTAAATTGAAATCAAATTCATCTGTTTCTAACATAGATATTACTAATCCATGGATTATTAATAATCCATGTAGTTAAGTGGGGCATTTCGGTTATAGCCAAGGCAAACTTCAATAATTGCTAGGGTATCCAAGTGCTTATAACAACCTCCTTCAAATCTCAAGGTCGCTGTTTCAATCCTGGGAAAAATCTATCCTGGATCCAGATACCTTTTTCATAAGACTATCGATTAATATGTAAGATGCTATCTAACATAGTGTCGAAGTTATAGCAACAAGACCATGGGTTGGCCTGTTGCCTTGCAAAAACCCATGAACAGTTTCAGACCGTAAATATACACGAAACTTTCTGAATTTTAACTTAAACATTGTTCGTCAATTTACAGACAGTTGTTCTCACAATAAAAGATAAGCGTGGCGTGATATTTCATTGTGGAAGTTTACTAGGGTTGTTCTAGGCACGAGTACGAACCATCATTGTAATGTAAAATCGATTGAGGATAGGTGTATGAACCCAACATGGCTAATAATGCTACACTATTCACTTGATATTAAACAATTTACCTTCATCAAGTTTACTAGATTTATCATACAACTTTTACATTGTACCGCATTTCCAATTGACATTGTCAGGCAGCATCATTAGACAAAAGCTTTGTCACCAAAAGCTATCCTATGAGCTAATCTTGGCACCGATAATGGAAATGCATTGGTTGAATGCAACCTGAACATAGACAAGTGCAACTTGCAATTGCAGCTGGGAATATGGACGATTTGTTCTCATAACATAGCCTCGGCCAATTGCGGGATAAAGCACGTGCAATGCCCAATGTGCAATCTACAAGAATCTGTATTGCAGGAAATAACACGTAGTGCGGCTATGCAATCGTCATGACTACGTGGCGTTGGCAACCGTGAACATATTATCGGTGCTTTGATATAGTTTTTTACATAGGGTTTCCTGTGCTAGTCTGTGTGACAGTGTGAAAACAGTGAAGTACCGTTACGTAGGCAAACCTAGTGATAAGGTAGCCCGGTCTCGAATCATCAAACTTGACTTATCAGCACAAGTCGCTACGGTACTGTACTGTCTGAGCTACCGCGTTCCATCGAATACATGTTTTGTACATTTTATATTCATTGTTTTATGTACATGTATGTGTTTATAATAATAAATGGTAATATAAAATGTAGTCACTTACGCGATTCAGTGCATTGCAAAACTAAATAAATTAAGGATATTGTATAAAAGATGATATCGGCGTGACAATTTGGAGTTTTCTTACATGATGTATGTAAAATTAAACAGGTGTATATTCCTTGACTAAATAGGGCTACACTTCTAATCGTAGACGTTTTAGGAAGTGTTGAACTGAATGGCTCTCCCCATTCAACGACCCGAAGCAAAGATTTAGAAAACAGTGAACTGATCAGTATCTAAACAGTAGACACTCAGTTAGCAAATTTGTTGAACCTAGCTGGGAAAATTTGGTCTCCATATCAATGTTTATTATACAGTATTCGATGTTCAATTGAAAAATCTAATGAACCCCACCAGATGTTTGCAATTCTAATAAAAATACAGCTGTTTTCGTTTTACTATATCTCCCCAACATCACGATCGTCGATGTTGACGATGTGTCCCCGATTGCGATTCCTAGAATCACTATGAACACGTCACTGATGTTTTATTCCACAGAATACGTCACGTGTGAAGTGATTTGTCGGAATCTCAATGTAATCAGTAATCATGATAGACAACGCCACATAGATCAGCATTCGGCTTGTAAGCGTTCGACAATCAATGTGGCAGTGAGTTATGCTTGGGACTCGTGACGTATCCAATCGTGTAATTTATTATTAATTGCCTTCACAACAAGTATTAAAAGCTCTATCATTGGAAACAGTCCTTATCGCGGCCTGTTGCACGATGACTTATCTTACAACATGAATATAATGGTTTTCTTCCGTTACTCCGAATTACGGCGAATTTTCTGTAAGATTTTGAGGATTACATTTAATTGGCGAAACAAGAGTTGCCAGGTATTGTAGATGTTTTTAAATCATTATAAAGATTGTTTATTTTAGTGTGGTTATTCATAATACGAGCACAAGGAAAAGCGATCTGGTTTGTAGGCTCATTTTGTTTGAAAAAATCTGATACTTTTTGATGGTTCGAAACTGGAACCAGATGTCCTGAACATATGGGTTTTAAAACATGGACCTGGCCGACGAAACAGCTGGTCTAAGTAAATGCTACAAAATCCACCTCACTCGATTGAAAAGCTTAATTAAAATAGGTATTACACTCATTTCGATACTCGCTCTTCATATTTGATTTCAAATACACTAAGCTGCGTCACTATTACACTGATTAACACAGTAACCCCATTATGTGCACGTTGACTGTACAATATTTTCCGTTCTCTATTCCAATTCCACCTTTATTACTCGGGCGGCCGCAGTTGTCGCCAGTATTATTCTAAGCTGGAATGTTTACAACTGGGCGAGTGATTTACAGTTTCTGGCGCTTTGATTCTGTCTGAGTTTTACACTTGGCTTGATAGCTATCGTAATTCCGTACGTAAATCTTCTCCTCAGTGCGGTGCTGGATATAGACACTGCTTTGCTGTTTATTACTTTACGGTTGTGGGTTAATTAAGTTTTGCACTAGTTTTGATAGTTATGGGAGTTTTGACAAGTTAAATTTTTAATATAAGGTAGTGAAAGAGGAAGAAAGTATTTTTTAAATTACGGTATTCTCCTTTTACACTCAGTTGAGTCCAACGGTATTTTGAAACATAATATGTATCCGATCTCAATAACTTGTATGTTTAGTCTAACATTTGAACAGCAAACGATTGTCGAACACCTAAACGTCAACAGTCGAACGTATTTAGGCCAACGCATTCAAAAGGCCATAAAACGCCCCGGGTTATATATTTCGGAACAGCCCCTGCATGTCGTAAACGCGATACATTAACTCAGAATCAGCCATCGCCCCGCCCATTATCCCCTCTAATAACGTTTTTAATAATTCGCCCCAGAAGGCGAACATAAAGCCGCCATTTTGATTATACCCTGCTAAATATATTATCAAACAGGGCTATCGATATGCCTGCCTCGACGCGGACATTTCTCGGAAAAACTACGCTAATATAATTTTATGATGGAAAATTACCCTATGATTAGACCTTCGGATGCCCCCACCCGGGCTTTTTGTCGCGCGACTTGTTCTTCTTCTCTCCAACAATGATTTCAGAGAACGCTTTATTACACGTGATTTCCTTTATTGTTGCCGGCCTTGCGACGCGACATCTGAATATTGGAATTATAGAGTAGGTCGCCGACGCACTGATCGAATACAGGGAGTGTGTATTGTACAAACTAACCCAATACAGTTCAGGGAGTGTGTATTCCACAAACTCAACTTATAAAATACTGGGAGATTGTCGCCGACGCACTGATCTAATCTAGAGAGTATGTATTCTACAAACTAACCCAATACAGTTCAGGGAGTGTGTATTCCACAAACTCAAAACAGCGCGTATTTATTCCACAAACTGATCCAAACCAGGGCGTTTGTCTTCCACAAACTTATCCAACACAGGGAGTTTGTCACCGGCTGACTAATTCAATTCAGCGGTTAGTTCTTCTGTAAACTGATATAAATGATCCAATACAGAGTATGTCGATGACAAATCTTCTTATAGAGTTTTTTTAGCGTAATAGCCTGTACTGTACTTATATCCAAATCCAAATTGTTAGGTAGCATTGACTTTATACCATTTACGGTCAATAGTCAATGACACCAGATTTTTACAGTACGGTGTGATAGCTTTCTGATCAATGAAGGTTTAATACATTAACTGCATTCATTGCCAAATTGGATTTTGATAACAAACAAAATGTCTCATTATATTTGAAATACAATAGAATTATTTACGGCTTAATATTTTTAGCATTTACATGAGGTGACCACCATCGGGGGATGAAATTTAAAAAAAAATCTTTGACTAATTTTACTTAGATAAGAACATAACTACCTCCTCCTACTACTACTACCAATACTACCTACTACTACTACTACTACTACCTACCTACCTTATAGCCTAGGAAAATGGCACATTACTTAATTTTATCGAAATACACGATATAGGAAGAATTACTAATGCTAAGGATTTTTCGAAAAATTATTCTCCCACCTTTATGATCCCAGATCTTTTAAGTACTTCACAATTGTTTATATCCAAGAAACAAAATGAGAGATTAGTTTTTTTTAGATCGTTGACCATTTAAAGGTATTTGTCTACAAAAACTCTTTCAAAGCAGTCCACCTCTTCAGTTCGACTTGGTTGTACAAAACGGCGAGCAAGGATGAAGGTATAAATCAGCACCTCTTTTGCCGGGTAGCGAGCAACTCACACTGAGCAGCGAGCATCGGTTTATGGCAATATTACGATGGGTTGCTCATTAACACTTGGAGGTAAACTACCTCGGCTACATACAGCCAATTATTAGATTTAACGCTAACCTAGCTCAGTTTAATAGGCGAAGAATACTGGACGATTAAACAGGCTGAACATGTGGATAATTATGGGGAGGCTCTAGGGGGTGATTTAAATACGGTGTAATTTGATTACGCAAAGCTGTAATCGACTTATGAGTAATTGAGTATTAAAGCTAATAAAAATTAATAAAGCTATGTCAGGAAATATGTTATGAAAGTTTTAATCTTTGATCAACAACTTTCACAAAATAACTTCAGGAATAGATTTTTTTTATTTCAAAGCGTTAAATGTATAAATATATGAAACTGTATTTATACCGTGAAATACAATACACCTATAATTGGCAGTAAAGTTGTCTTTAATATATAAAAGTTACGATGGTAATAAATCTGTCCTATCTCTCTAGTTAAATATTTTTCTGACCTGAAAGGACGTTTATAATGCAATGCAAATTGTTTTAAATTTTACTGTCAAGTATTGTTAAGTTGTTGAAATGTTTGAAAAGAGGCCTCCACACTGAGCATGTAACCTGTAAAAAAATGAAAATTTGACAAAATACAACACTATTAAACTCCCATGGGTTTACTATTACACAATAATTCTAAGCCTTGGGTGACGAGTTTCCCCATTCCATATCATACGATTTGCTTGTGCATGCTTGTGCATGCATGTCAACATATATTGTATACAGTATTATGTATGGCCAGTTTGCCACGATTAGTGTTTGTATATTTCATTATGTCGTTTCGTTTGTTGTAGTATTCGTCCAAACACGAGAGTTCGCCCCTAGCAAGTATCGGCACACCAGAAGAACAATTCAAACAGGTACGCTCACATAACCTGGCTTTGTTAACACATTTTACAATTACGATTAAGTTTGTTGTTTTGAAATGTTTGCTAAATTTGACGGTTTAAAAAAAAATTTATTTTGGGAAAACGTAATTTTTCCTCGGTAATCTTTACGTTACAGTTTCTACAAAAGAATTCTCTACATTACCATGAAGTAAAGATGGACAATCAACATTTAGATGGTTATCTTATCAACTACCTGTGTCTACTAAAGGATTTAATTGTAAGTTATCAGTAACCGTTTTGTATTAAAATTAAAACAATGATACTGATACTATTAAGTGAAATAGGTTAAATAATACAAGTTAAAACGTGAAAGTCCGATCAGGAATTGTTTGAAGAAGAAGACTCCTCCATAAAGAAGTTTGGTAGATGTAGTTTTGTAGATTCAGAAAGTTCTTTGACAAGGTGTTTCACCTGCAGAATACATTTGAGTGGGATTACTATGTTACCAAAGTCAACGATGTTTTTAACGTACAGTGTGTAAATTCCTCGCTATAAGCACCCATCTTTCAATTAAATTTGTTTTATTTACGCCCTTTTCACAGTTTATCGAATAAATTATACAAAGTAACAATCTCAAATTAAATATGTTAATCGAAATCAACTACGAATCACCGTAAGAGATATATGAGGCAAAATGCATTATGAAGAATGAAATGTGAATGTGAAAAAGTGTCATATAATATGCGGTATGACCCAAACAACTCTTCCAGACGTTACAGTTTCATGAACTAATGATAGATTAGTTTTCTGGCAATTTCTGACATTCTAAGTTTAGAGCGGAGCGGACAAGAGGGCAACGTGATTGATTATGTTTTAGTTCTAATAATTACTCTTCATCCCGTCAGTGGCGTTTATACTTCACGGGACGTTTCGAAATAAGCTAAAATAGACGGAACGTAATACTAAGGGCCGTACATCACGTGCTTTACTTGTAATACTTGAGTCTTATGCTATGTGAAGTTTTTGTGTGAGCTTTTGTCGATCACTGGAATGCCCTTTTTATGTTAGCTTCTTTAAAAAATAGTTTTAGTATTCTGACGCTACTGACATTTCCTGTCTTGAGGTTCTTGTAGTGGCTATAAAGGCCTAGTCGATTTTGGACCGAATTTTTCTAGAAAAATATATAGAATCAACACCAGTTGTACGGTTAGGACCATTCTCTTAGAAAAATGTTAATTGTGACCCCTCCCCCACAAAAAAACTTACAACGATCACACTGAATCTTTACAACCTTTATAACTCATTTCAGTAAAACAATATAGCCCACATTCAATTTGGCCATTTTCATATTTAGAAACTGTTTCCGAATGTTTCGTCGTAAAACGTGGATCGATTTTCAGGCATGACTTCGTGACCAATTCCAAAGAGAGATATTAAAATTTTATTATGATTAGCCACTTTTAGTCCCGACAGTATAATGTTATGAGCCGAAATTCATATCTCCACTATAGTTCCCGACCCTTCTTTTGTAGGGTGCCGAAATGGCGTTCGTTTTATTATTTCTTCAAGTTTATTAACATGCTTTAGTGATTCCAACTTATCACTATGCATGAAGATAAATGCTTTCAACCGGTCTAATTGCTAGTTTTGTTGAATTTTAAATCCACTTTTACATTATTTGAAATTCAATTTGTTTACTACGAGTAGTCCATAAGTTTGCTAAATACATAACTCAATGCAGATGTATATTGTAAGTGTTTGTATCTAGTATCTACAATTTCTTGTAGCTATTGTTTAAATTTAAATCTTGGAACCTGCCAGAATAAGTATTAGTTGGTTTTATAAATTATCAACGTTCAAAAGTTTCCTTTAAAAATTCGGATAATTTTTGCGGTTGGAAACCGTGTTGTAATTTTGTATCGGATAACTTTTATCACAATTTATCACATATATAGGTTATGATTCTCATACATCCATACATCTTAGTTCCTTTTGGTTTTTTACCTGGCCATAAACAGTGTACCGAGAATCGAAGATGGCATAAAAGGTGATGAATGAGGCAAAGGAAATGATCGGAGAAAGTCAGGCAACAGAGGAGAAGAGTGAGGAAGGGGAAAGAGAAGAATCGAAACAGATCTCCACCATCACCTCCTGACCAAACATTCCGGGAACGAGAGGACAAATTGAAAAATACCTGTCAGCAATTAGCAGCATGTCACACCCTGTAGGCCTGACTGGCAGCAGAGTAGAGCCCGACGTAGTCATCGTGATCACAAGATGATTGGAGGATATCCGTACAACTTTTACTGGAATTGGAACTAAATATTAAAAAATTAAACTTTATAACGGGCATCATAGATAGAAAGTTTTCATTGTAAAGTCAATAACTACATGGTCTGACCGAACAAAAATCGACATATGGTAAATTTTTAAACTTTTCCATTCAAAACGGGTTACTTAGAAAAACTGTGTCTTAAATATAATTCAACAGGATCGTATAAAAGAATAGATGAGTTATACTTTGCTAACGAAATTTGTTTATTTGATAAAGTCGTACAAAAGCACAAATCTTTCAGCAAACTCTTCCACTGTAAAAAGTTCAAGAACAATTTATCCATATTGCACAAAAATCTCCAAGATACGAACCGAGAACTGTCAACTCAAATAATCAATAGTCGTAAAACCAATAAAGGTTGTAGTAAACACCATCGATGTATAATACTCTACATCGAGGAGGGGAGTTATTATACATCGATGGTAAACACTCGCGAGTAAAGAGAACAATCCACTCAATAAACCGGAGAAAATAACCAGTCCAATACGATCTTTCTGTCATAAAGTCTTTTGCCTATGACACTGTTTAGGAAAGGATTTCAATTAGATCAAAGCACCTTTGAACCCTCTAGACGTTCATGCCCCACTCATTTGAGAAACAAAAGGAACATGTCAAGAAGATCAAAAAGGTCAGTGTTGTCCACACCTGCAGCTCAAGCCGGTCTTGTCATGCTAAACGTTATGAATGATAGCGTCATCACTTCTTCATACCTTCAGACATCTTGTTTCAAATCGTGAGAACTTATTAAACACGCTCTCTATTCACCAGGCGCTTTCATTCAGGCACAATGTAGATTCTTCCGGGGCCTCTTGTCAAAGCCGCCGTGTCTTCCGCTCACAAATCAGATCAGCTTTTTGTAATTACTCACACCTTTGTCCTGTATTCCGTAGATAACATCCCCTTCTGTGGGTGGATTCTGAGATCTTGCGTCAGAAGCTTTTGTTACTCCGATTAGTCTTTGCTACATTTATCTCTCGTCCCTTCTACTACATCTTGGATTGTTTTTGCTCCTGGGATATTGTCTCTGGGAGCGTCTTCGTCACACTTTACATTGTATAGATTTTAGGACGTATTGTGTCCTTTATGACATTTTTCATTATTTTTATCTGTTCATCGTGTAAGCCGTGCTTACACCATTTCTTGGAAGGGATTGTCATAAATTAAACATACTCCCTAAGGGGATTGTCTTCAAATGAACTGCCCATGTGAGTGACTTAAATGTGACTGGTCAATTTTGGTCAATAGTCACTGCATCGACTATCGCCCCAAGATTTCCAGCTAATGTAAAGTTTGCATATAGTCAATCGTAAAAAAAGTTTCTTGCTTGGCAGGAATTGGCACCAAATTCCCGAAACGTAATCAAAGAGCCCAGGCTTTGCACAGCTTGCCTGCGTCTCCGCCCAGTCCAAATCCCGAGTTCCAGATTCCAGGGGGCTGACGACCACCAGTCCCCGCTTATCTCCCCATTTCCGGTGTTCCATTTAGTCTATTTTGAAGCTCAATTTCAGATCATCGATCCAACCCCCTTGTCTGCTATATTTACACGCCCTGCTCGAGCCTGCCCCACGCCGCTGTGGCGAGAGTTAGGACAATCTAGGGATATTTATAAACCGTGTCACGACACGCCGTCACCTGCTCCGTCACATTAAATTGAATCTAAATAAAATGAAAATTGTTTTATAAAAAATATACAAATACAGAATCTTACACAGCGTGATGATGCTGCGATCTTTGGCTAGGGACTGCGTCGTTCCTAGCGAAAATATTGACCAAAATTTTGAATGCGTTGCAGACAAATTCCAATTCAATCGATCAGTTGTCCAAGTGAAAAAGTTACAACTCAGCCCAAAGATTGCTGCAAAACATCCGAACGTATTTTCGCCAGTTTAACGACTATATCATCAGTCTACTTGAACTAGAAGCTTAGAAGCTTACATTCTAAATCCAAATACTCTCATTCAGCCCTTCATATGGCTGAGCCTAATAAAAATGTTTTATTTTTATTTTTGTCATGGTGTTTTGGGTTCTCAAGGTGATATACCCACATGTGATCGTATTTCTCTCATTCCATTAGTTCAAATTGGCTTTCGTATGCAAACTAAAAACTTGTTTAGGTGCTAAACCTTAAGTACTCCCCGTAATAATCTTGGGAAAAGAAATAATTACGTTCGTAGTAAACCAGTTTATCAACACCACGTCCCACACGTACTGTATTATTCCACAATCGAGTCGTCATGAATTGTTCAGTCGGGGGTGACTAGTAACTACTGACATCAGGGGTGCTTCACATCGACATCCAGATTAAGAGATGGAGGGCAGAGGGCGGCTGCGGAAATGTGGACCCTAATAAACCTATTCCCAGGCCTGTTAGCCATCTGATTTCCAGAATCAATTAAAACTGTGCAACTCGAGCCGGGGGACGACGTTGAGAAATCTCCTTTTGGGGGTTAGGGCGGCTGGATCGTTTAATCATCAATTTGGCGCCCCTGAGGCGGATATGTCACCGGCCCGACACTGACCACCCAAATTATGCTTAGACATCAACAATTGGCTAAGTTGCTTCTGTGCGGTGGGCCACGTCTTTGGTTGCCAATCATATTTACATGACACAATTTATCACCCGCATGAACCATTAACCATGTAGTTTTATAGTCGTATTGTACAAAAACGTACATAAATAACGGTTAACTAGGCT